ATATATACGATTGCAATGATTTCAGTACGTGTATATATATAAGAAAATGATTTAGTTTTATAACTATTTTTACCGAGGGGTTAGTATGTTCATATGCTATTTTCTAAAGCTTTGTTTTTGGTACACTCATCCTTTTTAATGTTTTGCGCCCCCAGGCAGTAGTTGTGCGTTAGTGAGCCACCACCGGGCCGAGTTCACCTTCCACCACGTCTTTTGCCATTGTAGGGATTTGTATAATTAAATTATACTTATAATTTATTCTGTATAGATGCTCTGATATTGCCCTAGAACGCATGTCTAACTGTTGGAATGTAATTATTTGCATGCTGGCAGTTGGTGTATATTATTTGCAAATTTGACAAGTGTAATTTTGGGATTGGTCTATTTGCAGGGGAGACTTTGCTAAAATTTCGGCAAAAGTTAAACCCCAGTTTTATTTGAAATTTGACTATAAGTGCAATTAGGTCAATTGTGTCCAGCACCTGCCATGTGTCGGACACGCACAGGGTCCGGCTCGGATTCCAAAGAGGAATTTCGGTCGGGTCATGTCATAAATCCTATATCATTTATTTTTTATAAATAAACCGAAAAAAAACTCAAAAAATGACAGATTGACATATTAAATTTAATTTTGATTATTAAATTACTTTGATACCCTAATGAGTGTTTTGGGTTTATTTTTGTTTTAAAAAATCGATGGCAGTTTTGTAATTTATAGGAAGTTTGAAGCCGATTTGTTATGTTGTAAATGAGTTTTGGGTATGTTTCTAAAGTCCATTTCGTGTAGTTTTTTTATATAATTTAGGCCCATATATTGGATATAATAGTGAATCTCCCTAAATGTTTATGTACGTACTTGCACTGTATTTCAAACATGCCTAGAACCAAAAGAAATTGTAAATTTTTTGTAATCTCTCCTCTCTCTCTCTCACTCTAATTTTTTTTTTTTTTTTTTATGAACTGGGGGAGGGGGGTGTAAAACCCCAAGAAACAACTTGTCAAATTATTATTGTAATGCGCAATGCTCTATTATCCATTCTAATATGCATCAAAATTATTAATGTGTGCAGATTTATCGTACGGTTTTCACCGCCAATAGAGCAGGGGCCTTTTCAGGTTAATAATGCCCTCTACTTTTTCCAGTTTTTTATTTTGTAATTTATTTGAAAAACAATTTATAAATGAAACATGTGCAATACGACACAGCGTTATGATTTTATTGTACAGGACAATCTGATGTCCATGAAAATGCTTCATCTGGGGATGCCACTGAAGACATAATATTTTATCTTCAGAACCCACGGTCTGGTGATCAGCTCTCATCAGCGCAGACTATTCATGTTCAAGATAACAAGGACTCCTTGGGAAACTTCTTCAAGGTAAACACGAATTAAACTGCTCATCTGTTGCTTAATTAATTTGCATATTAAATCTTTTTGCAGCTTTTTAGTTAAATAATACAAAAGGAAGGCTTCTTGTTCTCTATTTATTTATTTATTTATTTAGTTTTGGAAGGAGACGAGATTGAAATTTTAAGAAATAATTAAGGGGGATTTTAATGGATATTGTTGTGTAGATACAGCTGCACCAAAATGGATTCAGTTGCATCCTCAACTTGTGATACTCGCAAGTGCACGAGCCGTTCGGT